CGTCAAATGTCCCTTGATGTGCTGGTTTTTAGACGCTGGTATAAAAAAATTCAGTTGCATCTCTTGCTATTAGTTTACATCCATTTCTGTCACGGCCTTTTTCAGACAACAATGCTGGTGGAATCAGAGCTTCTCCTAGTGGTCGTGGGTTTTATGATTGCGTTCATGCTTGCCTTCGGTCTTGGTGCGAATGACGTGGCGAATTCCTTCGGTACTAGCGTTGGTTCCAAAGTATTAACCCTTCGTTTGGCGTGCATATTGGCGACGATCTGTGAAATTTCTGGCTCTGTGCTCCTGGGCGGCCACGTGTCGGCAACTGTTCGTGGGGGCATTATTGATCCAACACGTTTTAACGGGACCGCAGATGGTCCGATGAGGTTGATGCAAGGCCAAGTTTCCTCCCTTTGTGGTAAGCAACATTTCAAAAATCTCGAATGCCTTTCATGACAAATCGGGCTTACCTTCCTTTATGTTAGGAGCATGCTTGTGGATGCTACTGGCAACTTTTCTCAAAATTCCTGTTTCTGCCACGCACAGTATTGTCGGGGCAACTGCAGGATTTGGTCTTGTGCTCTTTGGTTTTCAAGGTGTCCAATGGATGGGAATACTCAAAATTGGTAATACCTCGAAACTTAGTTCTTTTATCATTAATCTTATCTTCTCTATTTATGCACCTAAAAATTTACTTTTTAGTTATCTCTTGGTTTGCCTCCCCAATTTTAAGTGGTTTTGTCTCCGGCTGCTTGTTCCTTATTATCCAAATAGTAGTTTTGAAAAAGGTACGATTAATTTATTACCTATTATATGCAACTATTGCTAAATGTAATTTTGAGACTTGTCTTTGTATTTTTAGGAACAATCGCTTGAGCCGGCTTTAAATACACTCCCCTTTCTCTACGGCATAACAATAATAATCAATGTCTTTTCAGTACTTTATGGCGGCCTTCATCGCAAGTTTATTTTGTTGATTGACCCCTTTTTTTTTCTTACTACTACTCAACAATTGCTCTTTTTAGTTCTGAATCTCCCCGAGATTCCCTTGTGGCTT